ATGCCTCTTCTGCCGTTTCGAGCCATACCTGTCCTCGCAGTGGCCACTGTCCTCATGGTAGCACTCGGCCGAGCAGTCACACTGCAGCAGGCAGCCCTCGCCATAGTCAGGGTACTCCACCAGGTACTCCTCCCCATCTGCCCCATGATGGTTCTCTATCACGCTGTCAAAGGAGGAAATGCAGGATTAATTCAGGGCTCCCTGTTCCCCGTTTCCTGTGGGAGTGGCTGGGGGAAAGCCTGAGGTAGCCCCGGTGCAGCTGCAGGAGCTGGGGGACATCCCCTCCGCCACAGCATCCCCAGGGGACCTTGGTCACATCACTTGAGGTCCACATGCAGCAAACCCCTGCGGTGTCACCTTATGGTGGGGTTCTTCTAGGATCTCCCTGGGGCTCCTGTCCCTGCAGTAAATCCCCACCAGGCTGGCACAGGGACACCATGGGGCTTGGGCCACCATCTCCCCTTTTGGTACTGCCCAAGTGCTGGGGCTGAGAGAGGGGCTGGGGTCAGCCCAGGTAGGCAGTGGGGCTGGACTAGGGTGCGAGGAGCTGGCAGGAGGCTTGGGGGATTCGGGGGATTATCCGTCCACCAGCGGGAGCTGCCCAGGATGATCCAGGCTTTGAGGCCGTCGCCCCAGTGTGCTTGCCAGCTCAGCACCAGAGCTTCAGGCAGGTGATGGGTGATGCATGCCCTGGGCCAGCCAAGGTGGGGTGGGGGGACATCAGGCCTGAAGCCACCGGGGTCTCCTCTCCCTCCTGAGTGACCTCGTCAGCATTAATTTTTCCTGCTGCCATGGTAACCATCAGGAGGTTGCCATTGACTACTGGGGCTGCAGGCAGGGCTTGGCAGAGGCCTGGCAGCTGGACCAGGCAGGCAGGAGGGACCCAGGAGTCCCCCGCCCAGAATCTCCCTGCCATCCCCCACCTCCCCGGTCCTCCTCTGCCATCAGCCCCAGGAGCAGCATCAAATCCCCCCTTCTTGGGGGACACAGGACATCTCACCCCAGGAGGGACAAGGCCATCCAGATGATCTGGAGGGAATCGTAGTGGATGGGGCCGTGCCTAGAGGTGCCCAGCATCACACCAGCCTGGGTTCTTGCTTCCCAAGGGACATTTGCCCTCAGAAACCCCATGTGGGCTCCTCCGCCCTTCCCAGCCCAGAGGCATGCAGCCAGGGATGCCAGTGGAGCACAGCCCCCACGGCACCAGTCCCTTGGCAGCCCTGCCAGCACCTCCGGCTGAGCAAAGGGACACTCCCAGCCCCAGACAGCAGATCTGGGAGCTGCACGTGTTGGCATCCCTGGCCACAGGCAGGCCTTGGGCTGTTTAACCCAATTAAAAATGGTTTGGACCAAAACTAGAAGCGAGGCATCCTCCTCCTGACCATGGATGATCACTCAAGCGGGTCTTGGGCTCCCTTCTGCACTGCAGCCATGGCTTTCTGGGTCCTCTCCAAGCGATTCCTGCCTTGGCCATGCCCCAAGGGCAGAAACGGCCTTTCAACTACCCACCCAACCATGGGAAGGGGGAGAAAAGAGGAAAACAGAGGAGTGAGCAGGGATGATTCCCTGTTGGACTCCGCTCTGTGAGTGGGCAGTGCTCCACGCCAGAGCCTGCTGCCAGCATCTCACCCATTAGCTGTGCTCAGTGACTCAAGATGGGCTTGTGCTGCCCCAATTATCCCTCCCCGCCTGGCACACACGTTTGTTTTCAAGCCCACCAGCCTGTCCATCAAGCAGTTACTCCTTGGGGACTGGGCTGTATCGCCGGGCTGTGCACACACAGAGATGGGAGCTGGAAGAGCACAGAGAGCAAGCCGGGGACTCAGGTGGTCACAGCTCTGCTTGGTGCCTCAGTTTCCCGTGGGGAGTTTTGCAGATGGTGCTGAGCTTTCGCATCTGCTTTGAAACAAGAGAAGCTGGTTCAGACTCATAGTCCTGGCAGCCAAAGACTGAGCTGTAAAAGTCCGGAGAGGTGCTGGAGCAGGACCAGCCCATGAGATGTTTCGCTGAGTATTCTCGCAGCCACCGCAGGGGCTGTGGCTCTTTATTTAAAGTTTATTTAACTCTGTCCAGCCTCTTCAACCAGCACAGACCTTTTGCACCCAGGACATCCTTTGGCAGGGACTTCGGCAGCTCAGGTCCCCACTGCATTGAGGAACCACCTCCTTTTGACCCAGCTCCTACCAGCCTCCTCCAAGCACCTGTGGCTTTGCTCTCCTCTGAGCAATCCTTTGCTTTGAGACTGCTCCTTCCAGCTCAGCACTATTATTTATAGCTCCTGGGCTAATCTTTAATGATTACCCTTCATATTGCAAAAGCAAGCCCACAAAGGTGACAGCTAGGGCTGCTTGGGTAACCTTAATACACCTTTGGCTTCCCTATGTGCTCATTACAGCACCAGTCCTAACAAGCCTGCCTGGGAAGATGCCCTGGAGATGACTCAGTCCCCCATGGGCAAAGGCCACTTGTTAACACCTCTCCCTGATGCTTGGTGACCTGGGCAGGTTGCAGTTTTTTGCCCATGCCTTTGTTTTTCCTGCCTGGAGGAGGACCCTGAATGCTTCGTGCTTCCCCAGGGCCATGCACCCATCCCAGGCTGGGCACAGCTGAGCTGTGTCCCTCCCTGCCCAGTGTGCCGGCAGAGCGGTAGGAGGAAGGCTCTCCCTGCCGCCACGGCTTCCCTGCCTCCCCCGTCGCCCTGATTTCCTGACCCTAATGAAGCATTAATATTCAGTGAACCTGCAGCATCTATTCCTGTCCCAAGTGACCTGGTTTCCAGGCTGATGGATGGTGCACGCCGGGCCAGCCACGCTGCCTGGGCCATTAAGCACTATGCAGATAAATCATCATCGAGCCTGGGTGGACCCTCGCGAGGCCAGGGACAGTCCTGCGTGGGGCAGAAGGAGCGAGTGGCACGTCCCCAGCAGGAGCTGGGTTGCTTTGGACACCTAACCCGAGCCCCAAGCCCCCCTGGGGCAGAAGTAGCCCCCGGGGACCAGGCAGCATGAGGAGCGATTAGGAGACAGAGGCACAGGGCAGGAGGTCCTTGGAGAAGCTTCTTCCATGGGGCTCCTTGGGGTTACACCAGCCTGATGGAGATGCAAGCTCTGGGTCTACCCAGGTGAAAAGCAAGCTTGAGCCCTGCTGGGACCCTTGCAACACAACTTATTATTACTATTATTAATGATCATTATTGCTAAAACAAATATTACCAAGGTTACAGAACAGCAGCCAACCTCCCAAACAATCTCCAGCCAAGCTGTTACCCCAGCTTCACACCTGGAGACAGAAGGACTATTCTGCACTATGGAGTTAAGAGTAAGGACTGGAGATCGGTGCCCTTGCCTGGCTGGAGGCAGAAGCTGTAATTTCAGCCCTGGTGAGAGCAGGAGAGGTGACCCAAAGAGGCAGGAGTGGGCAGAGATGAGGCACAGCAAACCTGCAGCTTGGTCTCTGCCACTGGCTGGTGGGGTGAGCCAAGCATCGAGACCTTCTGTGCTTCAGTTTCATCATCTGTGACAGCAGCATTGTAACGTTGGCCTCTATAAAGCACTCTGAGGTCTCCAAAAGACCAGTGCAGGATAACCTCTAACCTCTCCAGAGAAGCAAACCCTGCCTCCAACCAACTAACCAACCAACCAATCAACAAATCATCCAACCAATGAGCCAAACAACCATCCATCCCATCCCTCCAACCCTATATACCCTCTCTATGTCTATCCATCTATCCACCCATCCCTATATATACACCCTCTCTGCATCAATCCACCCACCCACCCATCCATCGATACTCAGAGGCAATCTGGGATGTGCCTCTCTGGGATGAGGGACAGACAGGAAGCACAGATGGGCCAAATCGGAGCTGCCTCACTTACATTTGGCGCCCGTGCTGGTCCTCCCTGGTGAGCACGCCTTCCTTCTCCATCAGCATTTGCCGAAAGGTCCCCACTTTCTGCCGAATCTCCTCTTCGGAGTACCTGGATGGGCAAAGACACAGTCAGGGCTTCCATGGCCAGAGCGTGGTTTCCCCAGGGACCTGCTGAGGACCTCCATACCTTTGGGAGTGACATGTGGCCCAAGAGGCTGGTCAGAAGGAGAGGTGGCATGGTGACCGTCATCAGGGCCTGGAGGAGAGCAGGTCCCTCTGCTTGGTCCCTTGCCACCATCCTCCATGCCCTTTGCTCTCCTGCCTGCCCCTCCCAGCAGTGCTTGGCAGCAGAATGGACATTAGGAAGGGATAAAAGAAGAGGATGGCCATGAGGTTGTCATTCCCCCCCCACTGCCTCAGATTTTGGGGCACATTTCTGGTGAACCCCCTCGGCAGTGCCAGCATCACAGCTGGCAAGGCTGGGGTTTGCGCCGGGCGCCTCTGTCCCATTGCAAACCTCCCTCGCCCGTCCCTGCGCTGTACCAGGGCCCCGGCAGCCGAGCCAGCTCTGCGCTAACACCGAACGCTGACTCAGGCCGCTGCAGGGTTATTAACGAGAGACACTAATCACTTTGTCCCTGGCATCTGAGAACAGCCGCGGCAAACCATGGCACTCCAGCTGTCCCTGAGGCGTCCCCAGGGAGGGATGGGTGACAGCCCTGGGTGGGTGGTCCTGTGCCGCATCTTGTGGCTGCACAAGGGCACCTGAGCATCCCCCTCGACCAAAAACATCCAGACTGAGGGATGCAGTGGAGGGACCCCTGGTGCTCTCGGCACTGTCCCCGGGGACAGGGCAAAGGGAGAGAGGCCCTGTGTCACCGCCACCCTGCTGCTCTAGGAAGGAAGGGGACAGGCTCCATGTGCATCCAGGTCCTCAGCCACACCATCTACAGGGGCTGCTCGCAGCCCATCCTCACCATCACATCCCATCAGCATCACCACTAACGAGCCCAGAAAACTGGGTGTCAGAGCCTGGCTGAGCCCCATGGCCCCTGAGGCTGGCACCTCGCAGAGCATGTGCTGAGGATGCCAACGCCCTGCAGGGAACTGTGGGTGCCCCTCGGTGCCCCTGGGTGCAGAGGGACACACGGCAACACCCGCATCCCCTGCAGTGCCCACGAAGGGGAGCAGTGAGAAGAGGGGAATTAATATTAATGAGATCATTTGCACTGAAAGGTTCTCATTAATTCCCCAGCCGGCCAGGACTCCTGTGCAGGAGGAGGGCAGCTAACTGGGCATGGAGGCAGCCCCGGCCGCTTCACCTTGCCTTGCACCTTGCCTGGGCATGGGGGGGCCCTAAAAACAGGGCAGCACCTCCAAATGCTGCTCTGCACCATACCCTCACCACCGGTGCAGCCAGCCGAGCAGAGTGTGGCCATCCCGCACGGATGCAGCCGCCAGCCCCAGCCATGCCGTCAGCATCAGCCGGCCAGCGGCAGAAGGAAGATGTCCGCCTTAGAAGACAAGCATTTGCTGCAGCATATTACGGATGCGGCCGATGCTCTTGGAGAGGGGACGCGAGGCCAAACAGGAGGTGACAGATGGGCCACTGCGGCTGGGCCGTTAGCAAATCTGCGGGGGGCAAGGCCAAGGTGTGGAACCCCCCCTGAATCCTGCGATCCTGTGATGGAGGCAGGAGCACCCTGCCAGCCCCTTTCCTCCTGCACCCCCCAGTGCTGCTTATAACCCTGTTGGAGGGATTTTGGTTTTGCATTTAACACTTTGGGAAAGAAAGAAAAATTGCTGACACTTCTTTTCCAGAAAAGAAATCCACCCTACAGACAGGGAACTACGGCGCAGGCAGCCCAGAGTGAGCAGCAGCCGGGTACAGTGCAGGCAGGAGGAGCCATCCGTGTTTAAGGAAACAAGGGAGCGCTTAAATCCCCACAAAACCTCTGCTGTCAGACGCGTTCATCCCAGGGGCCCTGCCCTTGCCAATAACTCCCCTGAGGCCGTGGCCAGAATGCAGCCCCCAGCCCAGGCAGAAACCTCAGGGGTGCAAAGCGCTTCCCATGCAACCCCCCCTCCCCACCCCCCCTGGAGAGCCCTGTGTGGAGGGCAAGAGCAGGCGGAGGATTAACCAGGTTGACCAAGATTATTACTGTAATTATATTATCATTTTGGTGTATCACCGTCATCATCGTTATTAATAGCCTTAATAATAGCAAAGGCAATTATAGCAATAACAACAATACCGATTGCAATATTGCTATTACCCATCGCAGTAATGGTACTACTAGTAGTAAGATCCCTAGTAGGGCGCGGGAACCCAACAGGAGGCTCTGGGCTCCCCAAGGCGCCAGGTCAGCCTTATTTATTTCCATAATGACAAATTAGGCACAATCATTATTCCAGTCTGTGTGAGACAATTTAATTCTAGGTCACGCTTGCGCTCTTAATGAAAGCCTTGGCGAAGCCTTCCCTCAATCCATTTTCCTTCTCCCCAGCTGATACCAGTCCCCGTCTACCCACATGTGCCGAAGAATTCGGTCCATCCATCAGGTTTTAGCGAGCTGTCAGGGGGATCAGGCTTTTTGGCTGGTGCTGGAGCTATGGGGCAGCCAGCAGCACAGCCATGGGTCCGGTGGGGATGGGGGGGTCTCCTCGCTGGCCCCCCAGCCCCTCCTGCCCACCCAGGCAGGGATGTTCTCTGGCCCCTCAGACTTTCCCTCAGCCCTTTCCTTCCCTGGGGCAGAGCAAAGGGTGCGGAGCAGCTCGTGGTGCACAGCCAGGGGCATGGCAGGATGGGAGGGATCCTCTCACCCCAAACTGGGGGCAGAGAAGGAAGGCAGGACAACAAACTGAAGCACCAAAACCGCCTCGCCTGGGACTAAACATCAGCTCTCCTTCATGTCCCCAACATGAGAGACAGAGGAGGACTATCTCCCATCCCAGGCACATGGGGCACAGGCACAGGCAGGGCTGATGGCTGCCTCCCTCCTGCCTCTGCTTTCCCC